TTCCCTCTGTACTAAATAGCTTAGCTTGGCAGAGAAGCTTCAAAGCAAATAGGTGGCTTATCACTATTGAGCAGAAATCCCTGGTCTCCAGTTAAAATAGAGCCCGTCTTCCTGCCGAGCAGACACGGGCTGCAGCCTCGGACTGTTCAAGACCTCCAGCATCTCAGTGAGCAACTTGTTTTGTGACCGAATGCACAGAATTTGAACGTGAATATTTTAACTTATTGGCTACAGATTTGTTCATTGGAAATGTATTTTTTGGGGGTTTTTTTTTGTATTTTGGGTTTTTGGGGTTTTTTTTGGTCTATGTGTTGACCCTGCTGTCACTGAAGCACTAGGCACAGATGGGAAACGTCCCCAGAGACCTTTGGGAGTTAGTGAGAAACCGAAAATCCTTTTATTTTATTTAATCTCTACAGTGGGTAAAAAGCATCATCCCTATGCAAAATATTATGGCTGGAGTCCCTGTATGCCAGTCATTGGTCTGAAATAGTCTTCCACTTTTTGCCAGTGACCTAAACTGAGACTTTCATATATATCTACAGCAAAAACAAAAAGTTTAACTAGGTTACACCCAAATCTCAAGAAATCCCAAGCAGGAAATGCTTTCCCACTTCCTCATTCTCTGTTCTACATAACAAAATACCTTTTAGTCTAGTCATTCATGTTATATAATCAAAAAAAATAAGCAAGTTGGTGTTTTTGTCGGAAGGGGCCTCGATAGGGCCTGGGGAGCTGGAGGATGATGCCGGTCGGAGCCTTCAGGACTTACCTCAGGGCTTACCTAGAAATGAAAGGAACGTTCATTTTCCCAGTAAATAAATAAATAAAACTGCAGCTCCTTTGATTCGCCTTTTGGGTTTAATGGAGAATTTCTTATCAGAGCATCCGTCGGAGGCTCTGCAGCCTTGGAGGAGGCGTTGGGCGCTATTACGTGTCCATTAGCAAAACCTCTCTGCTCTCTTCTTCATCTGCCTCTTTGTCATGAATTTTTCAAGTTCAGTAAAGAAAGAAATAGGTTTGTAACCTTGCATCTTTAATGGCAAGCATGCCTGGAAATAGCTTGCACGGGGAAGCTGTCGGAATTATATTAACGCTTCCAACCAGCGAACGCGGGAGCTCGCGGGAGGAACCGGCTCCCAAATTGCCCTTGGTAGCATATATCAAGACACATTGAATTTATGAGGTAATAACTGGGTTCTGTGTTGAGGCTACGGCAGAAATACAGACTAAGGATTTTGGTCAGCATTTTTCAGGATTTGTGTGTGCTGAATTTACTGGATGCTGGAATTTCTGAAGAGGGATTAAACAAAACGGTCCCGTTTAGTCAAACTGTAGATTCTGCTAAGAATTAAACAGTGCCAGATTTTCTGCCTCTATTTCTAGTTTTTTGCTCTTGGATTTGTTTTTTTCCACCGGCTCCCTAGGGCTATTCAGACTGGTATGAAAAAGGTACCCTGTTGTATTTACAGCTTGGTATTTTATATATAGTGCTATGAAGTCTGAGAAGACACCTTAATTCCTTCGCTTTTTGTGCTATATCCTTAGAATTTGCGGGAGGGAAGAGCCCTGTCGCCGCTTTTGACAGCGAAATGCAGTAGCTGGTACAGCAGCGCTATCAAATATGGCATTTTTAAATAAGGATTAACTTAATGTTGCCAATTTAGATTTTTTAGAAAATCCTCAAGGAAGGGTAAGCCCATGGTCAGACCGTTCCAGGAGAAGCTTTGTGTGGGCGTTTGGGAAGGAAGTTCCGTTTGGCCGGAGCTCCTCGATAGCGGCAGGTATCGCGTGTGCATTAACAGCGCCGCGCACGCCGCGGATCCCAACTCTTCATGGGAGCTTTTCCAGAGGCCGCACGGGCACCCCGTGGAGACGTCCCGGCCAGGAGGATCCCTCCGGCTGGGTCATTCAGCTCCTTTCTCCGTGTGCGACACCGATCGCTCCCGTTCACCGTCGGGGACAGCCCGAGCCCCGCGGTTCTCTCTCATCGCGGCTCTTTTCAGCTGTTTCTCGGGCGTTTAGTCCATTTTTGGCCAACGAGCTGCTTTGGGAAGGGTGATGTGGGAATGGACAGCACGAGGTCTCAGCTCGGGAGGATGATCTGGGCTTCCAGGGCATCTAGACGTGCTCCCAAACAAGCTGCCCTGCTTGGGCTCCTGCTGGCACCCGCTCAGCTCCCCGGCTCCTTGGAGAGGGTCCCAGGAGAGCAGGTAGGTCTGGGACGGCTGCTTGGAGAGGGTTGTTGCTGCAAGCACTAAAACCTCGCAGTAACTCCTATGCTGTTTTTTCAATCTCGAGTACGTGGCAACAGCACTTGGACTTTTCACTTTTAATGTGTCCAATGCATTTTTGCAATTGAAGAAGCCCGTCCATCTTATAAACACCTAAGTCCTTTATTTCTCTTTTAATGAAATAAATATCATAGTTCAGTCTTACTGCAGCGGATCCTGACGTTCTCTGCCATGGCTGAGCCGTCGCTCACAGCATCGCAGGACTTGGCCTGGGTTCCAGCCATAATTAATGCCTGTAGCAGGAGCGAGAATATTTTATCTAACCCGGTTGCTCTTTTTATTAAAACCCGTGTTTTAGAAACTGACACCTCGCTCGAATTGGCAAAATAAGTTTCTGTAATTGCATCCTTTTTCTGGATGCGTTTCATAGTAGCTGTGTAAGAAACGTTATTTTATTGCATTTTAATTAGAATATGATAAAGTGATCTGTAGCGAAACAAGCTTTAACTTATAGATTGTTGCGTGGTCGTTATTCTGCGATAAATTAGAATTGTGACTCTGTACTGTTAAAATAAGATGCCTTGGCATCCTCTTTGTGTCATTGCTACACATTGGGTCCTGCTGGGTCCCCCATCACAACAAGAACGACCTGCGTGTGGGCTCGGTTCCCCTTGGCCACCACATTTATGGTCACAATTTCTAGTTTGGGGACTGCGGAGTTATCAGGTTTAAATAACTTAACAAGTCAGTAAAAGGCCAAGGAATTGGTCACGGGTGCAAACAAAAGCAGGGCATCCGCGATGTTAGTGAGTTCTGTGATCCCAAATAGTCATTTAACATTGCCAAAAATGCATTTAATTACTGACTTCTGAGAAGTCTTTACACTTTAAAAGCTGTAATTCCGATATTACTTGGGGGATGAGGACTGGCTATTTAGGTGTGAGATCTCTCAGGGCACAGCCTTAGGGAGATTTTTTTATATCTTCCTGCAAAACAAAGGCAAAAACAAACCTGGATATCATGGATCTATTTCTTCACACCTTAAAAATACTTTCTGACGTTGCACTCCTTAAATCTTTTAAGTATTGTATGATGAAATCCTTTTTATAGCAGTAGCAGGGGAATAAACCAATTTAACACAGTCCCTTTACAGGTTTAAATTACCTCTTTCTACTATTGCAATTCTGATTTTTTTTTTTCCCTACAAAAAAAAACCCATCTATCCGTTTCACACGCAATAAGGCTCTGTTTTTAGATTCTTTCTTCTTCTTTTTGGTGGCTGGAGAGGCTTAATGCAGGGCTGCTTGGAGAACGCGCCGCTTGTCTGCATCCTTTCCACCTTGCGCTGCTCCAGCTTCTCTGCCCTTTCCAACGGTGGAAAATCCAAATAAAATCAAAGCTGGAGCCCCCCGGAGCTTTCCAAGCAGGGCACGATGTGCAGGTCTGTCTGCAGCATCCCCGTGTGCCTCCCCCTTCCCTCTCCCCATCCCCTGCTCATCCAGATGCTTTAATTAATTTTAAGCGAGTTTTATAGGTAGGGGCGAAGTGTGTCAGAAATGTTATTCTCCATTTAAAAGTGAATTATCCCTTTGTATAAAAAGAGCAGAGCGTATTTGTTGGGGTCATCCCGAAAGCATCATCACTAAAAATTATCTGCTGATGCGGAAAATTGGATTTATTCTTCTGCTAGCATTTCCATAAAAATACAATTATGTATAAATTTATGTTCGCTAAAAGCTTGTAGTAAACTGGGCTTTTAGAAAATAGCACACTTACCTTTTAAAGTCCAGCCTGAAATGACCAGATGGTGCTTACAGTACGGAGCATAAAGCTGGGGAGAGATCATTTGTTTTCCTCGTTTAAAAGAGGGTGGAAAAGGGGAAACTTTAGGCGGAAATGCCTTTAAATGGTGTATGGGGGGGCTGGCGACGGCGCACGGTGCAGGTGGGAAGTGCAAAGTGGGGAAATGTTGCACTTGGAGAACACCAAAAGGTAAAATATTTTCTAATTCTTGGCTTTGGTGCCCGCTCAGCCTCCGCGCGGGCTCTTTCCTGTAAAATGAGCATTAATCTGCAAAAAGGGAACGGCCCTTCGGGAGGAGGCTGGGCCCTAGGGATTGTCTGATGTTTTCCCAGTGCTTTTTCCAGGAGGTTTTAAGGAGCCTCGCCTGGCGTCCGGCCCCCTGCGAGGCCAGGCTTGCACGGAGCCGCCTTCCTCCGTTGCCACCCGCTCGCTCCTCCTTGGAATTCTGCTTTTCAGGAACGCGCTTGAGGTGTCGGAGCATCCCACTCATCCAGGGCTTGGGGTTAATTGCGTATACAAAAAAATTCAGAGCTTGCAATTGCGTGTTAAAATATATCTCTCTGTATATCCTTTTATATAGGAATCTAAAAGGTTTTGGCCATGTGAATTATTAATTAGACCTGCGACGTCGCTCTGGGAGCTGCTGGGCATTCCTTGTGTGAGTTTGTTCGTTCTTCCCTGCTGTGGGAGCCCTTTGCAGCTCCGAGGGTTTAATTTGGATGATCGTGGCCCTACGATTGCTGCAACTTCTCCCCTTTGCATTTGCTGGTCCCGCTGCTGCGCGCCCGGTCCCACCAAGCCGGGGTTGGGAAGGAGAGGGAGGATTGGGAAAAAAAGATGCCTTTTCCTCTCCTAGGAGCCTGCATGGCCCTTTTCCCGCCGCTGGGGTTGGGACGGATCCGAGCGGGACGTTTTTCCGGGCCGCTTCCCGCTCTAACGCTGCGCGCCCTCCGTGTCTTGCAGGTATGGTGTGAATATGCGCTGCCTGGCAGCCCGGGTCAACTACAAGACGCTCATCGTCATCTGCGCCCTCTTCACGCTCGTCACGGTGCTGCTCTGGAACAAAGGCTCCACGGAGAGCGCGGCGCCGCGCCGCCGCTCGCCGGGGGCTTCCACAGGCCCCCCGGCCCCAAATACGAGGAGATTGACTGTCTGATCAATGACGAACACACCATTAAAGGGAGGAGGGAAGGCAACGAGATCTTCCTGCCGTTCAGCTGGGTAGAGAAATACTTTGAGGTTTACGGGAGGATTGCGCAGTACGATGGTTATGACAGGTTTGAATTCTCTCATAGCTACTCCAAAGTGTACACACAGAGAGCCCCTTACCACCCGGACGGGGTGTTCATGTCCTTCGAGGGCTACAACGTCGAGGTCCGGGACAGGGTGAAGTGCATCAGCGGCGTCGAAGGTTTGTCCGAAATCTTCCTTTGCGATTGAAATCCCGCTCCAGGTCCGCGCTCGTCCATGGAGGCGCCAAGTGGCTTTAGTCTGGGCTCTCCCTTGTGCTCGTCCTTTTGCCACTTACAGGCCCCAAACCCACTGCAGCCCCTTCTCCTCAGCCCCCCATAACGTGTGGTAAGACCCTTCCAATTTGCCCTTGCTAAACGATGCAATCAGCAATTAGTACATGAAGTCTTTCCACTTAGCAGAGATTCAATAGCAGAAGATTCTTGTTGGGTTGCGTAATAAAAAATTAATGCCTCTATAAGACTATTATAGAACGTGACACCGACACTTATAAATTAAAGAGTAACTTTCATTAAATGTATTAAAATACATTAATCTCCGTGCATCGCAGTGATGGGTGATGCTCTGCAGTGTTGATGTGAACTCTTCCCATCACACAGTCTCTCCTCAGAAAGCTGAGGCAATGTGCAATTAGTTTGTCTAAGGATTGACATAAAAAACAAGTGCGTAGGTACCGCAATCCTTTTTGTGTGTTTTTGCATTACTCATCACAAGTTTGTTTTTTAACTTGGGTGTCACCCAACGAGTCCCTCTCATTCAGATTCCTCATCTGAATTTCCAGTGCGCTTGGAGAAAGGCAGCTGATTGCTCACTAGAAATCCCCGTGGATGTGCTGGACCCATGTAATCTCCATGGATGTGCTGGTGGTTAAACTGGGGTGTTAAGGGGCTGAGTCCTGGCCGTGTCCTCAAAAAGCTCCAGCACAGGGTTCCTTTCAGCACCTTTCTTAGTGCTTCAGAATTAGCTGCCTTCTAACGTGTCTGTCATCTCGGTGACAGACGGTTTGTTTTTGTTGCTGGAGCCATTGCTGATCAAATGGGACTTGAAACTACCTAAAATAGTGATCGGTGCCTCTTTGCGGGGAGATTTTATGAGTTTTCTGTGGGATGAGGGGCACTTGGAGCTACGTCTTGAAGCACAAGCAGTTTTTGTGTTAAATGTTGGAGATATGTGGAGTGTCCCTTGCACTTGGACTCCCTGCAAGACTTGTGGCATTCTTGAGCAAAAACCCTGAGTTTGGTGTGAAATAATGCAGAAGCAGAACACGTTCTGCAGTCCCGCTGCTTGCAGAGTGTGCCAGCTGCTGTTGTGTGTGCTGAGTTTATTTGCAGGTACTTAAACCTCGAGAAACAAGCGAGTTGGACACTTGATATCTACATTGCTTATCTGTAAACCTCTCTTGTTTTCGTTTTTACAGCGTGTGATTTAAGAGCTGTCATTTTGAAATGTGATGCCTGAGCTCGGGTGCTGTAAATGGAATTATTGGCATGTCCTAAACAGGTCTCAGAAGGGAGATAGCTACAGCCTGTGGGAAGGGGGTTAATACTAAAATACATTCCCAGAAAGTTTCAGATTCCTGCCTTGCATCCTCCCAGTCCTGGAGGTTCTCCCTTTGTACCGTGATGAAAAACCTCGTGTTGTGTTTTCACCTCTCTTTCTGCAAGGTTAATGTGTCGCGTTATGTCTTATGACCCGGGGACTTTCATCTTGTCATCTCGCATGGGTTTCAAGGGAAGCTCTTAGAGCAGTTGTCATTTCTGCATCTTTCAGCCTCGACGTGCACCCTCTTCACCGAGAATACGTAGCGTTAATGAGAAAACGGCTTCCAGGGTTCACATAACAACACTTCACTCTTTCACAGGATGGTTTTCTCTTCAGAAAACTATCGCATCTCCATCAGGAATATTTATTAGAAACACGAGGCACAGAAATGCCTATGAAAACTTATATTTTCACATTTAGTTGAATCTTCTTGTTACACCGGGTTTCAGGCAGATTTGCTTTCTGAGCTTGACATTGCTAAAGGGGAGAACGGTGCAACTGCCAACTCGTATATTTTCATGTTGATCTTTCGTTATGCAAAGGTTTACAGCACAAAACATCCTTGGTTTCCTGCAAGAGGGTCATGATGATATGTTTTCACTTTGGTTTTACACTTAGAGCTCAGCAATTTGTTCCAAATAAAATCTAGGACGTGGAGAGGATTCTATTTTTATCTGTATTCCAAGTATTGCACGTTTGCTCATTTTTGTGTGTGAGGTGTGTATATAGGAAGAATTCTCTTCCGTAGCATTGGAATTCCTTTCACATGCGGCCATTGATGTAATATGCAGCTTGCCAGGTTTTTAACTCCAAAACCAAGGTTATACCTGCTGGGACATCTTGAGAGGAGGGCAGGAGAGAGGCTGGGACGTGGGAGATTTTCCCTGGGTCCGTTTTCCTATTTCTGCTCCTGGAAGTTGGAGTTTTATGCCGAGCGTGGCTCTGTGACGTTACCTGAGCTCATGCTACGAGTCCTGCATGTGAAATGCCTCAGGCTCCAGAAAACACCGTGACCTTCCTAGCTTGAATCCAGGGTCAGAATGGAGCTCCGGAGGCTTCTTCTGGTGGATGCAGACTTCAGATAACCCCAAAGCCCCAAATAGGAGCAGGAAGATGTGTGTTTCTTGGGGAGCCGCGGCGATCGGAGCAGATTTGTGGGTGCAGGTAGCTGCAGCCAAAATCTAGTAATGGCACGAGCACTTAATTTGCAAAGATTTATGTGGCATTAAGGGGATTGCATGAGCTCAAACGTCATCTGGAGATTTAGCAGCCTCCAGGGTAGGGGGAGGCAAATCTATTAAGGCATTTGAGTGTGTTTGAGACGAGGATGATGCTTCAGCAAACGGTCCAGGAGGAGCATGGTAAGGGCTCCTCTGCCCTTCACCTCCGCTCACTTTGGGCCCCTCGGAGCTCTTGGAGCAAGTGGGAGCAGTTTGCGCTTTGAGCGGGACCTTCTTTGAGTTTAGCTGATGGTGAAGCCTGCAGAAATGCAGCTAGCCACAAGGTTGGGCTTGGGGAAGTATGAGTGCAGTGCAGCAAGCCCCGTGCTTTGTTTTTCAAGCGTTCTGCTAAAATACTCCTGTTGGTTTTTATTTCTCCCCCCTCTCTTGCAGGTGTTCCGCTATCCACGCAGTGGGGACCTCAAGGCTATTTCTACCCAATCCAGATTGCACAGTATGGGTTAAGTCACTACAGTAAAAACCTGACCGAGAAGCCACCTCACATCGAGGTGTACGAAACCGCCGAGGACAAGGACAAAAGCAGCAGGTCCGTGGACTGGACTGTGCCAAAAGGCTGTTCCCTTGCAACCGTGTATGATAAATCCAAGTTCACTAGTGTTAAACAGTTTGTCGCTCCAGGTGGGTTACTGTAAATACGTAGCTGCTAAACCATTCCTGTTACTTTGTACAGATGGTACCAGGGGAGCTCTGACTTCCTGGGATTAATGTGTGTTTGTTTGTCCCGAGTGACTTCTCATCCTTGAGCATCACCTGAGACCATCCCCCCTTGCTGCCCTTCCGAAGCTTTCCATTGCTTCTGCTGCCTCTCAATTGCTGTGTATTTAAACCCTTGCCCTTGGGATGGAAAAGGCCGATGCACAGAGACGTGTGGAGGTCGGGGCACTTCAGACAAGTTGCTTTTCCTTAGTAGTGTCTTAGCATCTACCTCACAACAGAGCCCCAGAATTTAACCGGTTCTGTTAACTAATAGTAACAGTTCTGAAGTGCGGGGAGCCCCCAGATATGGTGTAAGCCTCTCTGGAAATGCTGTATCAGCTCTGCTTTCGGCCTCGAGCACATATATGACTATTAGGTTGGTCTCCCAATCCCTTTTGATTGGGATGAAGTGATTTTTGCAAACCAGATAGATCCGTTTCGGTTACCCCGAGTTGCCTCGGGCAACTTAGAGATGGAGCAAGTGCAAATGCCCTGTGGAGGCCACGGGCTCCCCCTCACATCCCTTGGCTTGTCGGGGTGTCTCTGAGCTTGCTTGCTGCTGCTAGAATTTACCATATTCTGCTTCATACTTACCAGGGGTTTATTTTGAGAAATCCGTTACTTTATGCAAGAGTTTCCTTTGTGCTAGGACAGGCTCATTAATAAGGACGTGATGTATTTTTCCTCAATCAATACCCATTAGAATTAATGAGTCCATTACTTAAAAAGACAATGAAGTAATTTTCAGTTGGCACCTAAGGCCT